CAGCTCATCAAGTACGAGTGCTTCAGTTCCAATATGGAATTTGCCTTCTGGGTGTCAAGTGATTCAGTGGAAAGGACTTACTGGGGTGGAGCAGCTCCTGATAGTAGAAGTGCGCATGCGGAATGAACAACACCTGCGCAAGTAAAGACGAAGTTTATAACTGTAATACGTATGACAAACTGGCAGGAGGACAGTGGTCTCCTCACTGAAAAGACACATCTACTAGTTAAACAGCTGAGGTTTGGTGATACAGGAGCAAACATGGAGCAGGGCTACTATGTTCTAGGAAAGTTTAAGTGTTATGGAATCCAATGACTTTGAAAGGTAACACGAACAAGCTGTTCTGCCAATCTTAATGCTAGCTTTCCTTAAACCACTCTGTCATACATAACAAACGCAACTGATTTGATCGATCAACTGATTTATTAGCTCATTCATATAGTTTTAAATAATTTGGCATGAAAGCTCGCCAGAGCTTAAGGTAGTCATGATTTAGTAAGCAAGTGACACATTGTGCCCTTTTCTTTTTCTAATTTCAAAGAAAATGTAAACCTCCTATAAAAGCGAGGTGAAAAAACTTTGGCAGGGTAATTGTCTTTTAATTTGCTTAATCAATGACGCAAAGTGTGACAAATGTGAACCTACACATTCTACCTTTTTTGTTTCTAATTTCAAAGAAAATGTAAACTTCTTATAAAAGCGAGGTGAAAAACTTTGGCAGGGTAATAATGTTTTATTTTGCTTAATCAATGACGCAAAGTGTGGCAAATGTGAGCCTACATTTTGAATAAACGAATGGACGAACGAAAGAGTTATTAACTATAAATTTTGAATAATAATTTTACACAATTAACCACTGATTCACATCGATGAAAGCTGTGCAAATTTCGTGCGATATTAAGTCAAGTAAAGCAAGTGAAATATTCACAATATGTCAAAACGTTCTGATTTAATCACAGAAGAGGTGGATTGAAAAATGAGTAATCGTTCTGCATGTAAAGTACTAAAAAATACACGCCAATATTCCTGGCAAAAATCTAGGTGTTCTTAATTGAGAGATTGTTATTTGATTTCGCGGCTGATTGTAACTAGATTGTGATGGAATTCTGGCTTGGAAATCTGTAAGTTACGGATTCCGCCTGCGAGGTTTATAGCTATGATTTTGGGAACTAACTGAAAATTTTTTGTTATGATAGGGAGAGGAGTTTACTGAAAATTGATTTCGGCGATTCTTTTGATAGGTAATGTATTGTAAGTAGTGGATTGGAATTAATGTATCGTACGCGAATTTAGTGCAGATAATGAAAAATAACACTGCATTGCAATAAAAAAGTATTCACAACTGTTGTGTAACTGCCAGGTTTTCAAACTTTGAACGGTAACTGCAATAAGAGACTTCCATATTTTTAATGCATGAGAATACACGAGTTGCCAGCAGCACTTTTTTATACTTAAGTTTCACTTCGCGAGTCAGCTTCTCAGCTTTCCATCCTGGTCTATGCAATAAGCCACTTTGATTACAGCATTAACGACGTTTCTTTTGACATTCGTGGTAATGAAGTCAGAAAAAATTTACCAGCGAAACGCATTGTTGTATAGTATGAAGTTCGATCGTATTTAGAGTCATGCGAGAACATTCGCACAGTTAAGTGTCCATTGTAAATAACACTGTGTGGAGATACTTCCTAAATATTTCTATTAGGACCTAAAGAAGTCTAGTGTTTTTGAAAGTAAATCCAAAATAGTAACGTATTGGATAATTGAATATTTCTCTTGCTACTTGCCTAACCAACCATACAATTGGGTGGGATAATTCTAAAATTATCACTACTAATCGGCGTTACCACCAGCGCCTTTGTTTCCTTGGCACATAATTTTGACGATGGCGGGTAGCCTATTTACATCAGAAAAAAGGCCGCTAATTAGTGATCATATAAAAACCTCTTGTTGCAGCGTTTAGATCACCCCTGATGAAGGCACTAGACAGGAGTGTCGAAACGTTGGGTCTATGAATTGTAACTTCTTCGGTTACATTCATTAAATCTGCAAACCAGTGTAGCTTCAAACTATGTCTGAATATTTCTCGTTGAATACACAGCTCCTTATAATTTTAGGGTAGATAATGAAAACAATTGCTTTCCAAAGGTAGGGGGGTCTCAAAAGGGTAATCTGTTAGCCATGAAACGGCAAAAAAATTAATTGTTAAGGGTAAAAAGTGATAAATTTAACCATTAGTTATAAAAAAAGGTAACCGCAAAATTCCATCTTTTAATTGCAACGGACAGAAATTAACCGCTGGACCTAAAATGGCCAAAATTATTAACTGTTAACGGTGAGAATCAATGCCCCGTAGAGACCGTTAAGTTAAATTTACCTTGTAACTTAAATAAACGTAGTAAGAATCCATGATTTAAGAAGAATGATACAACCTTATTGTTAATGGTGACTATGCTATACGTTGGGTAAGTACGTAATCTAATCGTGAATAGCGTAATTCATAGTATCCCGCGTGCAACAGTTTTATAAGTACGCCACAAAATTTCCAATGTAAGAAAAAAACCATAATAACCCCTTCCTTTTTGATAAAACGAAGGTGATTCATTTGGTTTTTGTTTTGCGACAAATACGTACTATCTACATAACATTGGTATTGTGAGAGATGTCGCAAATCTTATTAAAAATATTGTAAATAGTAGATAGCATGTAGAATATAAATGAACGAATGAAATAAAAAAATTAATTAAACATAAAAGTTGGTTCTTCTTCAAACTTCATCAATCAACATCATTTACGACAACACATTACAACTACCTTTATTATGATCAAATCAAGTTTCAGCCAAATGTCGTCACCAGTTCCAACCCGTTAATACTATTTCAAATCTTATTTCGGTTGCAGTGGCGTTTGCTCAAAAACCATAATCAATAACGATGGAAAGCAAATGAAAAGAAATCCACAAGGAAAAAAAAAACAGAGGGAATAAAACCTACAAGACAAAGATACGTACGAAGGTTTTGTGACTTTGTCAAAATGGATGGCAAATGGTGGAAATCAGAAACCGTAACTAATGTTAATCTTGCACGAATGGCAAAAAATCAACGATGAAGCTTTTTTTAAATGATCCTAAACAAAGAGAAATTTTTTTCTGAAAAACCCTATCAGATTTTATATCAGGGTGAGCGATAGAATACGAAAACAATAAGGGAAAAATGGCATTCAAAACATAAATGCAACTGGGAAAACAGGTGAGTTTTTAATTGGGAATGCCTTGGCAACACATAGTATTGATGTTCTGGGTTTATTTGGTGACAATTACTCGGTGTAAAGTCTACAGCTATATTTCCATGGGGATCCAATATAATCAGCGATAATGAGAACAAAATCAAAAGAGTTCAGGATAGGATTGTATATGTTTTTCCTTGATAACTCTGGGAAATGAAAGCTTGCGATAAAGATGGTTTTAACCTTGGGAAAATTAAAAAGGCAGCGGTATCAAGGACATTTTAATGGCAAAAAGAAGCATACAACCTAAGTTATATGCTCAGTTACATGCTTGTGTGAAAAATAATTAACTAAATAGAACAATGAACCTAAAGGTCCGTTTTTTGATGCATTTGAATATTTCCTAGCCATCATTTTCGTTAGGGACCTTAGTAGCTCTTAGCCTCTCTGGTTTGTTTCCCGAGCGCTTTTCGCATTTTTCTCTCAAATAAGAAAAGAAGGGAAAATCCTCCTCGATTTTAGTCATAAGGGAGGAGATGATAGAATTTCAGACCTGGTTGACAAGGAAGTAAGGGAGCACTTACAAGAACGAGAACTGGGTATGAGTTTTTCAAGCTCCTCACGCCTTCCTCGGCCAATATTGCGGCTAAAATTTATGTCTTTTGTATGGTAAGACGGCAATATACAAGATGTGATTTTTCAATGACCCAGCTCGACTTGCCTTGTTCCCTTTTCCCAGGTTCTCCCTATGAAGCTTAAAAGAGAGTGGACGGTAGCCATCTCGAAATCTTTTGAGAAGGGGTTGTGGGGAAAGGCGCCCAAAGATCATCCAAGTATTTTACACACATAACTGCTAGTTTCCAGAAGAAATTATTATAACTAGCATTCACGTGAATCCTGCTCAAAATTTTGAAGCAAAAAAAAATACAACATTGTAGACCAGCAGGAAATTATCTCAACCACTGAAACTTCAAATACAAAGACGAGCACTGTAAAATATAATTTAAAGAAAAAACGCAAAGCAGAAAGAACTTGACCAATTTAAAGTCAACTAATCAGTCAGCGTTCGGCTAATAACGCTTATATCGTGTCCTGTGCGTTAAGAATATCTGGTACGCTACCTGTTAATGAAATATGAAAATTCCAAAAGTAACTTCGATTATCTGAAAATCGAACTATAATAATAATGTGCACAAACAGGAAGCACAAACCGTGTGAGTGAACATCGATCGCTTTGAAGGAAGAGACGAACACGAACAAGTTTTTAACACTTTGTTGCCATTAAATAGTTCAGTCATATTACACAATATGAATTCTACTTAATATATGCATGTTTCGCTCAGTTCATTTACCCTCCACTTTTTCGTTTCCTCCAACAAAATTTAAGGCTGGGTTTTGAGCTTTTCTTTAAAGGTTAAGTTAAGGGAAAATACTCTGGCGGAATATAACTCTGGAGGGGGGCATGCAACTATCCAAGATTTCACCTAAGGCAGAAATGTTTCGCCGCCTTCGATTGCCTCGTGCAACAAAATCAATGAGAAAGGGACACAACTTGTGTCTTGTGGTTCAGAGATCTTGTTTCGGTGATTAAGATCATGATATCCGTGCAAACTTAGCTTAAACGTTTTCGTGACTAATAACTGAATGATACTCGCTACTTCAGTCCTGAACTTTGGCGTTTCATCAATAGTAACGAGCGACTAAAGGGCAACCTTCAAGGCTATCAAATCATAAATTGAAGGGTGCTATATATCAAACACTCTACTGAACTGGGTAAAAGGGCTGTCATCTGTGTAATAACAATTGTTGGACCCCACAATACGAGTGGTCAAAGCTATTTAACATGTATGAAGATATTGATCAGTGTTTAGGTGTTCCTTGTTCGAGGAAGCCGGGATCTCTTTCTATGATAAACAGTTTGTCGTAAACAAGATGCTGGTGTTGAAAATCCTATCACTTTTAAGGCTCGACTATTTTCACACCAGTAAAGGTTCCTTTAAATTGTCCCCACCAGAGAACAAGGCTTGCTTGTGCGATGTCACAGTTTGCCTTCTGAGTTGCAATTTCATCCCCTGAAAGGACTCTGCTCCAAAGATTGACTTCTGTTACCTCACCCGGACCAAAGCTCTCTTTGGTATCAAATTTCCCTCCGACTTTATCTTGATCTTGTCCAATGACAACTGTTCCGCTGTGTGGTATCGGATGATTTTTCTTCAGGTCTGTTCCATTGCTTTGAAGTTGTCCATCCATATAAAACTGCCAATTGCCTTTGGTGTTTTTCCAGGTAACACAAATGTGATGCCACATGGTATCAATAATTTTGACTCTGGTGTCTGTTTCACTAAGAAAATGAACATAAACAATTAAAACTATGTTAGAAACTCTCGTTTCTTGACTGACTGCGGTCCAATTGTGGCATCAAGATATATATATATATATATATATATATATATATATATATATATGTGTGTGTATGTACATATAGTGCTACATATAGAATAGGAATGCATGTTAACAATGTCGTGTGAGCTGCTGGAATGGGAGATAAATTAAGTTATTTTAATGTCACTTAACTTTTTTAAATTCCATTGCTATTTATTTCATTCGATCTCCAACACGCCATAGCTTTTAATTTTGTCACTAACAATGATTTAATCAATAGACACATTTGATTTATTTAAAGTCGCTTGGGAGCAAAAACAAGAGAACGTGATTGTTAACAACGCCAAATACAATCAGAAGCCTCGATAATACTCCGCTGGGAGCACTTTAGCCCATTGCGGAAACAGGCATATCATTTTTTTGAAGCTGAGCCAAGGACCCTAAAAAAATTCATCTCTGCGCCCCTTTATCGCACGTAATTCACCATTCATTCCGGTATATTTTTACTTCTCTTCTATCCTATTCTATTGTGTTATTGTGTTGTGTTCTTGGGCGACAGAGGTTATTCTTACAGTGCTTCACTCCACCCAGGAGTATTACGGCACATTGTCGGGGAAACCGAATGAAATGCTGAAATTGCATTAGCATCCAATCCAGGGGGAAGTATTAATACTCCTACGGGTCGCTTTATTTTAAGAAAATCGGGATACGGTTTGGCTGGATGGCCCACTTGACTCGAGTACAGACTTTATCTATCGTGTTTGTCCTATCACTTACTCTTTTCCCGAGGCTATCACTTACTCATATGACGAGTCTATAGATATAATAATTCCTGTTTGATACAGACAAACGTAGAAGGCATTCCCATTAGGTGCTCCAGTAGTCGCATAACTGTAGAGGCACTGGCCACCACTCAAATTTGTCTCCTTCATTTTGACAAAAAGGCACATGGTAAATTCCGAGAGACTAGACGAGATGGCGTTTGTTATGCTGGCGTAACTCTTTATGCTAGGCTGTCCAAAGACCATTCGGTAAGCTGTAGAAAAACAACAAAACACAATCTTCTTTACTCCAGTTTCACTGAAATGACAAGGCAACTCTTAAATCGGATGAATCTCACTGCGAAATTTCCGGATTAGTCTTGTTTCAGAAATTATTTTATATCTCATGTCCACTACCGGATCACGTACGTAACCGATAAACACTAAGTGCAAAGGGTTCTGTGTAAAAAAACAACTCTTTACGAAATAAATAGGCCAGAGAATTCGGAATGAGAGGATTACTCAGCCGGGAGGGGACATACAAAAGTAATCTTAACGGTTATTGCAACAGATACCCAGAGTAAAGACTGTCTTTGTTTTTTGAAAAATCTTGCTTTGGCTTCCGCATGGCTACCACGCACGCCAGAAAGAAAGATACAAGAAAAATGAACTTGAGCGCTCTGAGATGTCAAAGGTAGCTTGTGGTGTTCTCCTAAATAGGTGAGCTCGTTTGAAAGTATTCTGACTTCTAAAGCCAAAAAAACCTTGAGGTATAAACTTTTCACACAATTTAAAATCCAGCAGTTACTTTCTACTTCTTTTACCCTTTAACCCCTAAGAGTGACTAGCATCTAATTTCTCCCTACAATGTCAGCGCTGAATCAAACATCAAGGTCATGAGAATAAAGGAAATGATCACCAACAAAAGAAGCTTTTGATCGGTAAACAAACTCTCCTCGTCAGCCAGCACCTTAGGAAATGAATAGAGAACAGTATGGAGAATATGCATACTGGTGTTATGGTGTAAAGAGTTAAAAAGCGACAGATTGGATTAATAGAAGTATGCGAGCAACTGCACACTTACCCCTCCCCTAACCCAACATTAACCTTAACTTGTTATCAATTGACGATTGTTGGGTTAGGGGAGGTGTAGGAGCGCAGTTGTTCAGATACCGTTTACAGCTTCCTGTTGCTGATGATTATTAGTTAACGAAAATTTTTATGAGAAATCGTTATCAAAATAAAACATCGGCGTATTCTTTCTTCAAGAACCTTAATTAATGTTCCATCTAGAACTTTCTAAAATGTTGAATTGTCATCCACATCTCCACGAGAACTTCTCTTTGTAGAAGGAAGCTTGCGCTCTCAGAATATGTCATCAAAATACGATACACGTCTCTACAAACCTGATGAGCAAGACAGGCCTTCAATCTTTTCACACTGTGTCCCGTAAAATCCTGGTGCACAGCTGCAGTTATATTCGTTGACTTTGTCTGTGCAAGTTCCACTGTTTTTGCAGGGATGGCTGTCACAGGTAACTTTTTGCGATTACAAGACAACATTTCAAAAGAGTTGTTGTCAGTAAAAAGAAGCTACATCATATGGCGACTGACCTACCGATCTTCAAACCATATATGATTAAGGTGGTCTAACTAATAACGCTTTTGAATCGAATTAAATCTCTTAAAGCATGAGCGTAACAAAAGAAAAACAATGCGAAAACTTTTAAGGAGAAGATCTCATCAAAATAGCGTTCGAACGAAGTTTGTTTGCTTGTTTGCAGAAAACCGTCTCGCTACATTTTTTCAATTGTTGCACATAAACGTAACAGGAAAACTGCTCTCAAGCTTCTCTCAACAGGCAGCACATTACAACTTCATTCTAATTTATAAAATTGTTTCTTACACAGATCAGCACAAGTTTCTCCGGTCCAAGGGGGCTTGCATTGGCATGAATAAGTTTGCTTTTTCTCGTCATAAAAACACACACCACCATTTAAACAGGTGCTGGCTGCTAGTCGGCAATCCTAAATAGAAAGAGTAGCCGATGGAATAATGAGAAGAATATAAATAAACATAAATATGCTTCAAAATTATTTCACTTTCCTACTGACGGATTAAAAACAATTGGCTGGAAAATAGTCACGCTCTCAACTACGGTTTTTTTGTTATCTCCTAGATCCAGCTCCAACAACCGGGTGGGTATCAAGCCTACCCTATCGCCAAATTTAACGAAACAATTTATCTGTCCTTGCCAATTCTTCAACAAACTTCTGAAATATGATTTACAAGGTGGTAATGCGTTTATAGGCAAAAACAACGAAAAAAAAACACTGCCCGCCTAAAAGTTTTGCTTTTAACTACGCATTTAATACACATCCACAAGTACATGTATTGACTTCTGCCAAACGAAGTCAAGGCATGTTATTTTATTATTAATGGTCTAGCTTCTATAAACTTCAGTTAAAAACTACTACATATTCAAACACAGTAACATGCGATTCGCTGCAACCCCAAGCTTTTACTTACGGTGGAGTTATTGCACTTTTTTGTGATGCAAATGAGAAACAAACAAGAGCCCACCAGCCGTTTGGGGACGGCATATAATTTCAAATATCTCGATCAAAACATGGTGTTTCTAAATTCCTACATTTTGCTGGAAAAGTATTTCATCTAAAAGGGAATAAAAGAAAGTGTATGTGCCATTTCCAAAACTTGCTTCTGCTGGCAAGCATCAGTTCTAGTTTTTTGTTCTTTACAAAAATTTGCATAATTAGTGAATGGTTTCTTTAAGGTGCATAACATTTGCAGTTGATTTTACCTATCACCAAACGCCCAATGGAATATTTTTCTTCATCTCTTCTTGTTATTATTGTCCTTAGTTAGTTAAAGGAGAAGTATTTTTCCGTTTTCATGAAAAAGAACTTCTAACTTTCATGCTAAACCGGTAATCGATGAATGCTATCACGAAAGGTCTCAAACGTCGGCGGGGAAACAAAATATTTGTTTGGTGCAACCAGCTTGTTTTTGCGGCTCACGAACTGCATGAGGTGGGTGGATCTTTTCACAGAAAAGGGGGTTAACGAACAACTAAAACAAAGGGTTGAAAATTATGGGTATAGAAATGACAACGATTATTCTTACTAGTTCTCTTTGGTCATTATGCAGGTTGTGTGTCTGGTACTACAGCTCGGCGTAAAAATTCAGTTTTCAATCATCTTTGGATTTTAGTTTTTTTTATTCATAATTTTATTGAATTCTGGAGCTCTCCGAAAAAAAAGATCGCACTGAAGACCTCTGCCTAATTAAGGGTTTATTTTCCTGAAGTAAGGGAAGAGTTAAACTGTAAAAATGAAAACTTGCTTAATTACAAGACTTTTCAAAATAGACGAATTGGTGACTAACCTGCAGATGATTAAACTTGGTATCACTGAATACATTGAAAACGATCAAAACATTGCAATTATTTACCTTAATAAGTGTTGAGAAAATGACTTCCGCCTCGAACTGTAAATGTGTGTTTTCTTTGATAACGTCGTGCTTGTTTAGTTCACAAGTTCCTTTGCCATCAGACTTGGAAGTTTGAGGAGTAAGTTTGAAGTTTGTTGAAGTACACCAGGCGTTTTTCAAACAAGACTGACTACACCAAATTTGACTGGTCGACTTAAACCGTTTCACGACAAAACCTTTAAGCCACTTATTTGTCAACGTTGTGAAATATGTTGATCGAGAAAGGGCAGACGATTCTACTCCTGCGTGGAAAACTGCGTAGAGTAATATAACTCCTCGAAAGAAGACAAAGAGGGAAGTGTTTTCAAGTCCCATCGCGAAAAATGTCATTACAGAATAAGTCTGTTTACTGTCTTTGCCGATGTCTTTAAAGATGTACCCACGCAATCCGAATTTTCATTAGTCAACTTCAGCGTAATTTAAGTGCTTATTTGTACAAATTGCACGAGAAATCATTTTGTTACTTATTAATAATTTACATAAAAAAACGCATAACAGACAGTCAAAACGGACATAACTTTGCATTTGAAATTTGCATTCGTGCCATAACTTTGCGCTCGTGTTACATGAAAAAATACACTCGTTTTCGACCAATCGGACGCGCGTGACTTTTTGATGTATATTAATACATATTAAATTCAAAATGAAATGATTCAGTTGCGTGAATCACTAGAATTGTAAGGTCAAGTCTGGAAGCCTAAACAATACTAAATCATTTAAAGCTCTGACAAATTTTTGTTGGAACTATTTTCAAATTACATTAAAAATCGGCTTCGCGAAAACCTGAATTATTCAGATTATTTACCTAGCGTCAAACGTTTATGAGATAAAAAGCACGAAAATGCATGCTAAGATCAAAATTAGAGAAAGGACTTGCTTAAAGTGAGCTCGTATTCCATAGGCCACACCTCCCATGACAAATGTACCAGTTTGATCGACACTGAAATTGGTAATTTTTACGGAATACGCCACACTTCGTAACAAGCAAACAAAAAGAAAACAGAATTTCTGACAATATGACATCTTCTAAACGGAAACTAGACAGGTGAATTCATCACCAAGCGCAAAAAGCGCATACTACATAAATTCACGACAGAACTTTACCATCTTCATTCTACTGTTCAAAATTGTTCTTACCCAGCTTAGCACAAGTTTCTCCGGTCCAAGGCGGCTTGCACTTGCATGAATAAGTTTGTTTTTTCTCGTCGTACACGCAAGCACCTCCATTTTTACAACTGTTGGTTATTTGGCAGCCCTAACAAGAAGCAGTAACAGACAATACGTCGTAAAAAACTGTTAAGAACACGAATATGAATGTACTTGGGAATTATTACCAAGAAGTGCTCAGCTAGCTTTCAAGCCCGATGTAAAATTTCGGACCAAAAATTAATTGCCTTATCAATGAAAATGTAATAGTCGATTTCTGCCCTTATTTAGCCTGTAGCAAAGAATAATGCATTTAAAATTATATAAAGAGGGTAAGTTTCTAAAGAAACTGGGGTGCTGCTTTTGTGGGAGAGTATGACATGCAGGGTAATACAATATTAACAACTGAGTAGATGACGTAACTTGGCCACCGAAAAGATTTGAAAGCTGACCTTTCGAGCGTTAGCCCTTCGTCAGAGCGAAAGATGGAGGGCTAACGTCAGCTTTGAAACTCTTTACATGGCATTTAAACTTTTATTTGTTCACTTTGTTCAACTGAAAATTCTAAAGACAACCGGAAAGTTAAGTATTTTCTTTGAAACATCCGATTCCTTCATGTAATGGGTCACTTCTGATCCATCCAATCACCAATCTACATCTCTATCTATTTCATATCAGTAGAGATAAATGAAATGATATTAGAGAAGATCTCCATAATGCACTGATATCAGTTTCAAAAGGAAAATTGAGCTCACCTTTCATTGAATAGCTGTTTCGATGCCGGAAGCCTAATGTGCCAAAATTTATCATCTGTTTTGGCAGAACTTAGAGAAAAAGACGAAACATGCAAAAACAACAAACCCGTTCGCTTAACATGTCGCCTGCACAAATTACAATTTTGTTAAACTACATTCCTCTAGAAAAAACAGCTTCTGAGGCCTGCACAGTTTATGTTACCTTCAATCCGAAAGATTTTGCCATTAAAATTCAAAATGCTAGCACATAGGCTGAATAGTAGGCGATAAGACCACATATTTTGTCAAACACATTTTACAGCCCAGAAAAATATTTTGTTAAGACCGACAGAAGCAAGTCAATGTCTTCTTTCTTCGGCTTATGCTGAAATTAATCGGTCTTTGCGGCGTCTGATAGCTTTATATTCTCGGTGTTTTAATTCCTGAGCGAAATATTTAGCATGTTTCCAGAAGTAAGAAAAAAGCTGTGGTTCTGGTCATGGCGAATGAAGTTTATGAACAGACATATTTGCATAAATGATGATTCTTATAAGCCGGCATTTCCTTATTCAAGATGAGGTTTGCCCTTCATCGAAGAAATGGTGACTAATTTTTGTTCTCTTGTTTTTTCCTCGTTGTTTGTCAATTCATGTCATTATTCAAGGCATACATCCATTTCGCTTTCAAAAAAAAAAAAACAGCTCTGATTAAAACCTCAAAACAGAAAAATAAGTGGAAAGGTAGGTTTTTATTGCTTGCATTTCGACTGTATTAAGATCGTGGCATACACGAAATCAAGGATTCAGTTTTGTCTCATGCCAGCTGCTCGTAACTCAGAATACTCAAGAATAATGCAGAAATCTAGCGTAAATAATTTCTCTGTAAGGGAGATTCATTGTTAGCAAATCAAAACGAAAAAAAGCGTTGAGAAGGGTAGTAGTCTTAAAAATGTATGCTAATTTTTTCTAACGCACTTTGCCGTGAAGAGCACCTGTTGGCTATTTAGCAATAAATCGAGCCTTTTATCATTTTAGCGACGATATCGCACACGGGATATGTTAGCACAACAATCCCTTTTGACTCATGATTTACAGTAATACTCGTGTTCTCCCAACACCTCATACTAGTTATTAGGCTGGTAAATCGATAGAAAGTGCCGACTAGCGCTTTTTTAAAATAGCTATGCTCTTGGTTTTCTTGTGCAATAACAGTAATTTTTTCCAATCATATACACCCATAATTTGAGGAAATTCAAGACATCTATTTTTCACATCGAAGTTAGGTTTTTGCTCAATTTCAATTATAGTGCTGTGGTCATGAATTTTCACTTTCCAGCCTTAAAATTCTAAAAACTGCTAAAAAGAAATGTGGCACTGAAGACTTTAGTTCAAATGAGTCAATTAGCGATATAAAGACACACTAGTTAATTTCAAATTTACACACGACCACTTTCGACGATTTTTTCATCGGTCGATTTACGAAGGGAAAATTTGCGGAGACGTTCGGTTATACTCGCCCACGCAATTAACGCTTTGCAATGTAAATTCATGCTTGATTGCCAGGCGGTGTGCGCACTCTGATTGCGTTGCATCATGGTCGTAAAATGAAAAATAAGTCATTTGCATCCTGTCGTGGTCGAGTGAATATCTCTGGTAGCAGTAAGATAGCGTGAATAAACGTGGAATTTGATGAAAATTCACTGTCTGTTGCAGTTCCTTCGAAAGTTAAAAAGTGTTTGCGGGCCTGTGCGACTCCTGTTATTCCTCCGTGACAAATTCGTTGTTAGGAGGCAATTGAAGACATTCAGAAAGAATCGAAACTGCAGTCTTGCCCGAGAATCTATTCGTTTGGCAGCAGTTTCACACACAGCTGATGGCTGTGTGAATAATATCAAATCCGCGAGTAATTTAACGGAGAATCGTCCCTTGACATGCAAATGCATTCCAAAGAGGCAGCGACCTTCTAATACACGAACTATTTTCCATGTCATACACTTAAGGGCGTGAATACGGAATTCGCAAAAGGAGAAGCCTTACACCTCCTAACACCAAATTCGTTACGCTCAACGTTTATTAAAAAACGTACAGAGTTTCAAATATGCTTAAAGAATATAGAATACCTAGAATAAGGTTTTGACAAACGTATCTTTGGAGTTATATTCAGCGGGAGAGACTGATACTTAAAAAAAAAAAAAATAGCGCACACACATGAAAATAATACCTTTTGTAACGCAATCTCATCCGGCTTTTCCAAACCTCAAGAACATACAGATGGGGAAATGACACCTTAAAACTAACCCTTAATATCACATCGTAAACGGAATTCATTAAAGGATATCCTTTCAGGTTAGAAGATTCAAAAGCGCAAGCGAATGGCAGAAGTCACTCTAGCAATCAACACCGTTTAACGATCGACTACCTTTTGCTTTCCGGCTTACCCGGTGTCGCCGTGCGCATTGTAGAGTTATCCATTGGTCAAGTGATTCCGTTAATGGCTCAAATTCAACTGTCCTTCGTTTAATGATCAAGATAGTAGATTTGCCATAAAACACTCGCGATAAGTTAATTTCCTTTTACTTAGGAAAGTAGATTTACAACACAATTGACTATATAATAGTAACGCTGTGTAACGCAACAATAAGCCTTTTCTCGGCCATAATCGGTCTCAAACACCCGCACTTAAAATGCGAGAAACACATGTACCGTTGGAGAGCGTTTGAGAGCATTTAGTCAGAGCTGTTAAGGAAGGATCAAAGCAGCCATCCAAATCTTTGAAAGGCTCCAAACTACGACGTACATCAAATTTGACCTTCTTGAAATCCGGTCTCAAATTACAGTGATCGCGTTTGTCTTTGAGAACCATAGAATACGCGACAAATACGAACAAAAAATACTTTTACACATTCAGAATAAATCAAATTAGATTTACCTATGGTGAAAGGAAAAAGGAACGGCCTAACTTTTACGGAATGTTCAGTCAAAATCTGCCGAATTCTGCTGCTTTCACCGCCATATTGAAAATGAAGCTACCACAATGCAACGCAATCGGAGTGCGCACACCGCCTGCTTGATTGTCAATTATACAGTGTGGAATGACAAACATGCCGATTTCCAATTAACCAAAAAGTGTCGATTGGTCGAGAGAACATTAATTAAACTCCAACAGTACGGAAGAATACAAAGTTGCACACCGTAAGGGTTTGCGCAATGTTTTTGAAAAAAAAAAAACTACCCATGCTTGCATATGTATTCCAAATTGCACGGTTGGTTATAAACTTATTATTTACCTATGATCATCACCTCGTGGTGGAAAAGCAAATCTTTCCCATCAAATTGCCTGTCATCTTGCAGAAAACGTCCGAGACGTTTGGGCAAGTGTATGCAGTCTAATCGTGATTCATAGTAGCCCTGTGCATTAGCAGCATTTTAATGTGTATTTTGAGTCAACTTGAAGAGAAAGGTATCTTGTATCGTGATTACAGTATGAACGACGTTTCTTTTGACATTCGTGGTAATGAAGTCAGAAAACATTTACCAGCGAAACGCATTGTTGTATAGTATGAAGTTCGATCGTATTTGGAGTCATGCGAGAACATTCGCACCGTTTAGTGTCCATTGTAAATAACACTGTATGGAGATACTTCCTAAATATTTTCTATTAGGACTTAAAGAAGTCTAATGTTTTTGAATGTAAATAAAAAAAAATTAACGCGTTGGATAATTGAATATTTCTCGTTCAATACACAGCTCCCTCATAATTTTAGTGTAGATAATCGAAACAATTGCTTTCCAAAGGTAAGGGGTCTCAGTAGGGTTAGCTGTTAGCCGTGAAACGGCGAAAAAATTAATTTTTAGGGATAAAAAGTGATAAATTTAACCATTAGTCGTAAAAAAAGTTAACCCCCAAAATTTTATCTTTTAATTGCAGCGGAAGGAATCAATGCCCTGTAGAGACCCTCGAGTTAAATTTACCTTGTAACTTAAATAAACGTAGTAAGTATTTATGACTTAAGAAGAATAATGCAATCTTATTGTTGATGGTGACTATACTATATGTTGGGTAAGTACGCAATCTAATCGTGAATAGAGTAATTCATAGTATCCCGCGTGGAACAATTTTATAAGTACGCCGCAAAATTTCCAATGTAGGAAAAAAATAAAACAAGAAACCCCCCCCTCCCCCCTTTCTTCTTGATAAAACGAAGGTGATTAATTTGGTTTTGGTTTTGTGGCACCCAGTTGAAATACATATTTGTACTATCTATGTAATATTGGTATTGTGACTGATGTCGCAAATCTTATTAAAAATATTGTAAATAGTAAATAGTATGTAGAATATAAATGAACATATGAAATAAAAAAAACAAATTAAACATAAAACTTCAAGTTGGTTCTTCTTCACACTTCATCAATTGACCTCCTTTACGACAAAACATTACAACCGTGCCCTTTATTATGAACAAATCAAGTTTCAGCCAAATGTCGTCACCACTTCCAACCCGTTAATATTATCTCAAATATTATTACGGTTGCACTTGCGGTTACTTAAAAACCATAGTCAATTACGATTACAATTGAAAAGAAATCCACAATGACAAATATTTTAAACCGAGGGAACAAACCTACAAGACAAAGGTACGTAGGAAGGTTTTGTGACTTAGACACAATGGATGCAAAACAGTAGAAATCAGAAGTAATGTTAATCCTTTAAAACTTGAACACAGGAATGACAACGATGACTCTCTTTTAAATGATTCTAAAAAAGAGAATTTTTTTCTGAAAAACCCTATCAGATTTTATATCAGGGTGAGCGAAAGAATACGAAAACAATAGGGGAAAAATGGCATTCAAAACATAAATGCAACTGGGAAAACAGGTGAGTTTTTAATTGGGAATGCCTCGGCAACACATAGTACTGATGTACTGCTGTTTATTTGGTGCACTCGGTTTAAAATCTACAGCTATATTTCCATCGGGATCCAATATAATCAGCAATAATGAGAACAAAATCAAAAGAGTTCAGGAGGGGATTGTATATGTTTTTTCTTGATAACTCTGGGAAATGAAAGCTCTCAGCCTCTGTAATTTGTTTGCCGAGCGCTTTTCGCATTTTTCTCTCAAATAAGGGAAGAAGGGAAAATCCTCCTCAGTTTTAGTCATAAGGGAGGAGATGATACAATTTCAGACCTGGTTGACAAGGAAGTAAGGGAGCACTTACAAGAACGAGGATTGGGTATGAGTTTTTCAGGCTCTTCACGCCTTCCTCGGCCAATATGGCGGCTAAAATTAATGGCTTTTGTATGGTAAGACGGCAATACGCAAGATGAGATTTTTCAATGACCCAGCTCAACTCGCCTTGTTCTCTTTTCCCAGATTCTCCCTATGAAGCTTGAAAGAGAGTAGACGGTAGCCATCTCAAAATCTGTTGAGAAGGGGTTTGTGGGGAATGTCGCCCAAAGATCATCCAAGTATTTTACACACATAACTGCTAGTTTCCAGAAGAAATTATTGTAACTAGCATTCACGTGAATCCTGCTCAAAATTTTGAAGCAAAAAAACAATACAACATTGTAGACCAGCAGGAAATTATTTCAACCACTGAAACTTCAAATACAAAGACGAGCACTGTAAAATATAATTTAAAGAAAAAACGCAAAGCAGAAAGAACTTGACCAATTTCCAGTCAACTAATCAGTCAGCGTTCGGCTAATAACGCTTATATCGTGTCCTGTGCGTTGAGAATATCTGGTACGCTACCCGTTAATGAAATATGAAAATTCCAAAAGTAACTTCGATTATCTGAAAATCGAACTATGATAATAATGTGCACAAACAGGAAGCACAAACCGTGTGAGTGAACATCGATCGCTTTGAAGGAAGAGACGAACACGAACAAGTTTTTAACACTTTGTTTCCATTAAATAGTTCAGTCATATTACACAATATGAATTCTACTTAATATATGCATGTTTCGCTCAGTTCATTTACCCTCCACTTTTTCGTTTCCTCCAACAAAATTTAAGGCTGGGTTTTGAGCTTTTCTTTAAAGGTTAAGTTAAGGGAAAATACTCTGGCGCAATATAACTCTGGAGGGGGGCATGCAACTATCCAAGATTTCACCTAAGGCAGAAATGTTTCGCCGCCTTCGATTGCCTCGTGCAACGAAATCAATGAGAAAGGGACACAACTTGTGTCTTGTGGTTCAGAGATCTTGTTTCGGTGATTAAGATCATGATATCCGTGCAAACTTAGCTTAAACGTTTTCGTGACTAATAACTGAATGATACTCGCTACTTCAGTCCTGAACTTTGGCGTTTCATCAATAGTAACGAGCGACTAAAGAGCAACCTTCAAGGCTATCAAATCATAAATTGAAGGGTGCTATCTATCAAACACTCTACTGAACTGGGTAAAAGGGCTGTCATCTGTGTAATAACAATTGTTGGACTCCACAATACGAGTGGTCAAAGCTATTTAACATGTATGTAAATATTGATCAGTGTTTAGGTGTTCCTTGTTCGAGGAAGCCGGGATCTCTTTCTATGATAAACAGTTCGTCGTAAACAAGATGCTGGTGTTGAAAATCCTATCACTTTTAAGGCTCGACTATTTTCACACCAGTAGAGGTTCCTTTAAATTGTCCCCACCAGAGAACAAGGCCTGCTTGTGCGATGTCACAGTTTGCCTTCTGAGTTGCAATTTCATCCGCTGAAAGGACTCTGCTCCAAAGATTGACTTCTGTTACCTCACCCGGACCAAAGCTCTGTTTGGTATCAAATTTCCTTCCGACTTTATCTTGATCTTGTCCAATGACAACTGTTCCGCTGTCTGGTATCTGATGATTTTTCTTCAGGTCTGTTCCATTGCTTTGAAGTTGTCCATCCATATAAAACTGCCAGTAGCCTTTGGTGTTTTTCCAGGTAACACAAATGTGATGCCACATGGTATCAATAATTTTGACTCTGGTGTCCGTACTACTTAGAAAATAAACATAAACAATTAAAACTATGTTAGAAACTCTCGTTTCTTGACTGACTGCGGTCCAATTGTGGCATCACGATATATATATATGTATATATTTAACAAATAGAGAAGCCTTGGCTGTGCTCTGTTCTATTATAAAGCACGCAGGAAGCGGCTAGAGCACGAAAGAAGTGTAGGGAGAAACACGAGACGTAGTCCCCACTTCTTGAGTGCTCTAGCCGCTTCTTTAGTGCTTTATAATAGAACAGAGCACAGCCAAGGCTTCTCTATTTGTTTTATAATAAAGAATCCATTATATTCCCCGAGCATTACTTTCAATTTTCAAAACAAACTTTATTTCCAAAGCGAACAACAGTGTCGTCAGCATGCTCTATACTCTCATAAAGCACGCTACAAAAAGCCAATCAGAATCCTTGTTAGAATGGTTCAAATAATCTGATTGGCTGTACAAGACTAAAGCTGTCAAAAGTGTCAAACCATCAAAGTTAAAAAACCATCAAAGTTCACCTTCTGCGATAGTTTACAAACTAAAATAGTTCGGTAGGTCGAATTTAACACTTTTGCCTGAAGTTTTTAAGTCTCTAATACAGAATCTTGAAGTGAAATGTTCAGTGAACTTCAGCCGAATTATGGCTCATAAAAACACGCGAGTTTTTTCACATGACAAGGTAGAAAACAAACTGTTCAGGGCAAGTGTTTCTTGAATGAACGACAGCCGAATTCACCGGAACATGAAGATCGCTCGGGATGACAGCTCCGCAAAACTCGGCTGCAGTGACAGATGTGACTTTCCACGCATTGGAAAGGATATCAGAGCAAGCTCTTATTTTTTTACTCGAAGGGCGGCCGATGTAGTTTCTGAGGCTTGCTTTACTGTGATTACTGGAGATCGCCATGATGAGCGAGCCGCGATGAACTTAGCATGATCATATTCGCTCAGACACCGTCATGATTAGTATGAATTTTAACAATTATGCCAGTTTGGTTATATTTTTCATCATTTCTGTTTTGTCCTGTTTTGTTTTTGAACACTGAACTTTATATACTATACGAGTGTTAGCTGTGTTTGATTTTTATTACCCTACGTAAGCTTGCAATCTAACTGAGCGTGAAAATCTTTAAAACTCGGAATGTTTATTTTGTTTTTCCTTTGAGGATTTTCGTATCTGCTCACGTTTTAATGACGTAAATTACGGCGCCTGGTATGTTTACAAACCTTTGTTTGATTCTTCTGTTGCTACTTGCCGGCTCGCTTCAGTTCCGAAATTTCACTTTCAATTATCAGAAAAAAGCTAAAAAGAAGTCCCGGAAAAGCTCGAACATAGTACAATTGGCAGATGGCGTGACAGCTGTAGCTCAGCTCTATGCTCTATACTCTCATAGAGCACGCTCTTTCAACCAATGACAGCGCGCGTTATATCCGAACTTTATTATAAATACATATAGTGCTACATATAGAATAGGAATGCATGTTAACAATGTCGTGTGAGCTGCTGGAATGGGAGATAAATTAAGTTATTTTAATGTCACTTAACTTTTTTAAATTCCATTGCTATTTATTTCATTCGATCTCCAACACGCCATAGCTTTTAATTTTGTCACTAACAATGATTTAATCACTAGACACATTTAATTATTTATTTAAAGTCGCTTGGGAGCAAAAACAAGAGAACGTGATTGTTAACAACGCCAAATACAATCAGAAGCCTCGATAATACTCCGCTGGGAGCACTTTAGCCCATTGCGGAAACAGGCATATCATTTTTTTGAAGCTGAGCCAAGGACCCTATAAAAATTCATCTTCGCGCCCCTTTATCGCGCGTAATTCACCATTCATTCCGGTATATTTTTACTTCTCTTCTATCCTATTCTATTGTGTTATTGTGTTGTGTTCTTGGGCGACAGAGGTTATTCTTACAGTGCTTCACTCCACCCAGGAGTATTACGGCACATTGTCGGGGAAACCGAATGAAATGCTGAAATTGCATTAGCATCCAATCCAGGGGGAAGTATTAATACTCCTACGGGTCGCTTTATTTAAAGAAAATCGGGATACGGTTTGGCTGGATGGCCCACTTGACTCGAGTACAGACTTTATCTATCGTGTTTGTCATATCACTTACTCTTTTCCCGAGGCTATCACTTACTCATATGACGAGTCTATAGATATAATAATTCCTGGTTGAAACAGACAAACGTAGAAGGCATTCCCACTAGGTGCTCCAGTAGTCGCATAACTGTAGAGGCACTGGCCACCACTCAAATTTGTATCCTTCATTTTGACAAAAAGGCACATGGTAAATTCCGAGAGACTAGACGAGATGGCGTTTGTTATGCTGGTGTAACTCTTTATGCTAGGCTGTCCAAAGACCATTCGGTAAGCTGTAGGAAACAACAAAACACAATCTTCTTTACTCCAGTTTCACTGAAATGACAAGGCAACTCTTAAATCGGATGAATCTCACTGCGAAATTTCCGGATTAGTCTTGTTTCAGAAATTATTTTATATCTCATGTCCGCTACAGGATCACGTACGTAACTGATAAACACTAAGTGCAAAGGGTTCTGTGTAAAAAAACAACTCTTTACGAAATAAATAGGCCAGAGAATTCGGAATGAGAGGATTACTCAGCCGGGAGGGGACATACAAAAGTAATCTTAACGGTTATTGCAACAGATACCCAGAGTAAAGATTGTCTTTGTTTTTTTGAAAAATCTTGCTTTGGCTTCCGCATGGCTACGACGCACGCCAGAAAGAAAGATACAAGAAAAAGTATCTTGAGCGCTCTGAGATGTCAAAGGTAGCTTGTGGTGTTCCCCTAAATAGCTGAGCTCGTTTGAAGTTATTCTGACTTCTAAAGCCAAAAAAACCTTGAGGTATAAACTTTTCACACAATTTCAAATCCAATAGTTATTTTCTACTTCTTTTACCCTTTAACCCCTAAGAGTGACTAGCACCTAATTTCTCCCTACAACATCAGCGATGAATCAAACATCAAGGTCATGAGAATAAAGGAAATGATCACCAACAAAAGAAGCTTTTGATCGGTAAACAAACTCTCCTGGTCAGCACCTTAGGAAATGTATAGAGAACAGTATGGAGAATATGCATACTGATGTTATGGTGTAAAGAGTTAAAAAGCGATAGATTGGATCAATATAAGTATGCGAGCAACTGCACACTTACCCCTCCCCCAACCCAACATTAGCCTTAACTTGTTATCAATTGACGATTGTTGGGTTAGGGGAGGGGTAGGAGCGCAGTTGTTCAGATACCGTTTACAGCTTCCTGTTGCTGATGATTATTAGTTAACGAAAATTTTTATGAGAAATCGTTATCAAAATAAAACATCTGCGTATTCTGTCTTCAAGAACCTTAATTAATGTTCCATCTAGAACTTTCTAAAATGTTGAATTGTCATCCACATCTCCACGAGAACTTGTCTTTGTAGAAGGAAGCTTGCGCTCTCAGATTATGTCATCAAAATACGATACACGTCTCTACAAACCTGATGAGCAAGACAGGCCTTCAATCTTTTCACACTGTGTCCCGTAAAATCCTGGTGCACAGCTGCAGTTATATTCGTTGACTTCGTCTGTGCAAGTTCCATTGTTTTTGCAGGGATGGCTGTCACAGGTAACTTTTTGCGATTACAAGACAACATTTCAAAAGAGTTGTTGTCAGTAAAAAGAAGCTACATCATATGGCGACTGACCTACCGATCTTCAAACCGTATATGATTAAGGTGGTCTAGCTAATAACGCTTTTGAATCGAATTAAATCTCTTAAAGCATGAGCGTTACAAAAGAAAAACAATGCGAAAACTTTTAAGGAAAAGATCTCATCAAAATAGCGTTCGAACGAAATTTGTTTGCTTGTTTGCAGAAAACCGTCTCGCTACATTTTTTCAATTGTCGCACAACAGGAAAACTGCTCTGAAGCTTTTCTCGACAGGCAGCACATTACAACTTCTTTCTACTCTACAAATTTGTTTCTTACACAGATCAGCACAAGTTTCTCCGGTCCAAGGGGGCTTGCATTGGCATGAATAAGTTTGCTTTTTCTCGTCATAAAAACACACACCACCATTTAAACAGGTGCTGGCTGCTAGTCGGCAATCCTAAATAGAAAGAGTAGCCGATGGAATAATGAGAAGAATATACATAAACATAAATATGCTTCAAAATTATTTCACTTTCCTACTGACGGATTAAAAACAATTGGCTGGAATATAGTCACGCTCTCAACTACGGTTTTTTTTGTTATCTCCTAGATCCAGCTCCAACAACCGGGTGGGTATCAAGCCTACCCTATCGCCAAATTTAACGAAACAATTTATCTGTCCTTGCCAATTCTTCAACAAACTTCTGAAATATGATTTACAAGGTGGTAATGCGTTTATAGTCAAAAACAACGAAAAAAAAAAACACTGGCTGCCTAAAAAGTTTGCTTTTAACTACGCATTTAGTCAACATCTACAAGTACATGTATTGACTTCTGCCAAACGAAGTCAAGGCATGTTATTTTATTAATGATCTAGCTTCTATAAACTTCAGTTAAAAACTACTACATATTCAAACACAGTAACATGCCATTTAAATTCCTACATTTTCTGGAAAAGGATTTCATTTAAAAGGGAATAAAAGAAAGTGCATGTGCCATTCCCAAGACTTGCTTCTGCTGGCAAGCATCAGTTCTAGTTTTCTGTTCTTTACAAAAATTTGCATAATTAGTGAATGGTTTCTTTAAGGTGCATAACATTTGCAGTTGATTTTACCTATCACCAAACGCCCGATGGAATATTTTTCTTCATCTCTTCTTGTTATTATTGTCCTTAAATAGTTAAAGGAAAAGTATTTTTCTGTTTTCATGAAAAAAACCTCTAACTTTCATGCTAAACCGGTAATCGATGAATGCTATCACGAAAGGTCTCAAACGTCGGCGGGGAAACAAAATATTTGTTTGGTGCAACCAGCTTGTTTTTGCGGCTCACGAACTGCATGATGGTGGGTGGATCTTTTCGCAGAAAAGGAGGTTAACGGGCAACTAAAACAAAGCGTTGAAAATTATTCCGGGTATAGAAATAACAACGGTTATTCTTACTAGTTCTCTTTGGTCGTTATGCAGGTTGTGTGTCTGGTACCACAGCTCGGCATAAAAATTCAGTTTTCAATCATCTTTGGATTTTAGTTTTTTTATTCATAATTTTTATTGAATTCTGGAGCTCTCCGAAAAAAAGGATCGCACTGAAGACCTCTGCCTAATTAAGGGTTTATTTTCCTGAAGTAAGGGAAGAGTTAAACTGTAAAGATGAAAACTTGCTTAATTAGACGACTTTTCAAAATAAACGAATTGGTGACTAACCTGCAGATGATTAAACTTGGTATCGCTGAATACATTGAAAACGATCAAAACAGTGCAATTATTTACCTTAATAAGTGTTGAGAAAATGACTTCCGCCTCGAACTGTAAATGTGCGTTTTCTTTGATAGCGTCGTGCTTGTTTAGTTCACAAGTTCCTTTGCCATCAGACTTGGAAGTTTGAGGAGTAAGTTTGAAGTTTGTTGAAGTACACCAGGCGTTTTTCAAACAAGACTGACTACACCAAATTTGACTGGTCGACTTAAACCGTTTCACGACAAAACCTTTAAGCCGCCTATTTGTCAACGTTGTGAAATATGTTGATCGAGAAAGGGCAGACGATTCTACTCCTGCGTGGAAAACTGCGCAGAGTATTATAACTCCTCGAAAGAAGACAAAGAGGGAAGTGTTTTCAAGTCCCATCGCGAAAAATGTCATTACAGAATAAGTCTGTTTACTGTCTTTGCCGATGTCTAGGGGGTCTCAACTGTCAGTCGTGAAAGAATAGAACTTGGCCGGGGGCGATAAAGACGCTTTTAAACTTGAGAAAATTAAAAGGTGGCGGTATCGAGGATCTGTCAATGGCAAACAGAAGCATATAACTTAAGTTATATGCCTGCGTGAAAAATGATTAACTTGGTAAAACAACAGCGCTAAAGAAGCCTTTTTTGATGCATTTGAATGTTTCCTGGCCATCATTTTCGTTAGGGACCTTAGTAGCTCTCAGCCTCTCTAATTTGTTTCCCATTAATTTCTCGTTGAATACACAGCTGCCTCATAATTTTAGTGCAAATAATGTAAAAAAATTGCTATCCAAAGGTAGGGGGTCTCAACTGTCAGTCGTGAAAGAATAGAACTTGGCCGGGGGCGATAAAGACGCTTTTAAACTTGAGAAAATTAAAAGGTGGCGGTATCGAGGATCTGTCAATGGCAAACAGAAGCATATAACCTAAGTTATATGCTAAGTTATATGCCTGCGTGAAAAATGATTAACTTGGTAAAACAACAGCGCTAAAGAAGCCTTTTTTAATGCATTTGAATGTTTCCTGGCCATCATTTTCATTAGGGACCTTAGTAGCTCTCGGCCTCTCTAATTTGTTTCCCAAGCGCTTTTCGCATTTTTCTCTCTAAAAATAAGAAAAAAAGAAAATCCTCCTCGATTTTAGTCATAAGGGAGGAGATGATACAATTTCAGACCTGGTCGACAAGGAAGTAAGGGAGCACTTACAAGAACGAGAACTGGGTATGAGTTTTTCAGGCTCCTCACGCCTTCCATGGCCAATATGGCGGCTAAAATGTATGTCTTTTGTAAAGTAGGACGGCCATGTCCAACGACTTAGGTCAACTCGTCTTGTTCCCTTTTTCCCAGGTTCTCCCTATGAAGCTTAAAAGAGAGTGGACGGTAGCCATCTCGAAACCTACTGAGAAGGGGTTTGTGGGGAATGGTGCCCAAAGATCATCCAAGTATTTTAAACACATAACTGCTCGTTTCCAGGAGAACTTATAGTAACTAGTATCCACGTCACGTTCTTGCTCAAAATTTTGAAGCCAAAAAAATACAACATTGTAGATCGGCAGGAAATTATTGCAACCACTGAAACTTCAATGAGAAGAATATAAATAAACATAAATATGCTGCAAAATTATTTCACTTTCCTACTGATGGATAACAACAATTCGCTGGAAAATAGTCACGCTCTCACCTACGGCGTTTTTGCTATCTCCTACATCCAGCTCCAACAACCGGGTGGGTATCAAGCCAACCCTATCGCCAAATTGAACTTAACAATTTATTCGTCCTCAACAATTGTTCAACAAACTTCCAGAACATGATTTACAAAGTGGTAATGCTTGGGCAAAATCACTGGGGTAAACGCTTATTGACATTAACAACGAAAAAAAACACTTAACTATTATTATTAGCATTTCAAAGTGCCAGGGAAAATTGATTGTTTAGTCTTTGAAATACTGTTCATCAAGAATCTCAAGCCTAATTTAAATATCCAGACGGAATCCATACGTGCCAAACTTTTTGTTTAATTACTGTTTAGCCAATGTCGAAACGTCGTCGTTTTTTAGCATCTTAAAAATGTTTTTCAGAAATGTTTTATCGCAATTATTTAGTTAAATGTTTTTCTAAATCACTTCTTCTTTATATCAAAAAAACACTGGCTGCCTAAAGATTTTGTTTTTAACTATGCATTTAGTCAACATCTACAAGTACATGTATTGGCAGAATTTCAAACGAATTCAAGGTGTTATTTTATTAATGGTCTAGCTTCTATAAACTTTAGTTCAAAACTATTACATATTCAAAGACAGTAATATGCGATTCGCAACAACCTCAAGCTTACTTACGGTGGAATTACTGCACTTTTTTGTAATGCAAATGGAAAAAAAAGCCGGCAGCCATTAACGGCTGCGGTCGGCATATAATTTCAAATATCTCGATCAAACAATGATGTTTCTAAATTCCTACATTTGCTGAAAAACGAGTTCATATAAAAGGGAATAAAAGAAAGCGTATGCACCATTTCCAAAACTTGCTTCTGTTGGCAAGCATCAAATCTAGTTTTATGTTATTTACAAAAATTTGCACAATTAGTTAATGGTTTTCTTTAATGTGCATACATTTGCATAGCAATTGGTGATTTTACCAATTACTAAACGCCCGATGAAATATATTTTTTTTTGTCTCTCTTTTTTATAATTGTCCTTGTTTAGTTAAAGGAGAAGCATTTTTTTCCGTTTTCGTGAAAAAAAAAACTTCTAACCCTCATGCTAAACTGGTTATCGATGAATGCTATCATGAAAGGTCTCAAAAGTCGGCGGCGTAACAATCAGACTTGGAAGTTTGAGGAGCAGGTTTGAAGTTTGTTGAAGTACACCAGGCGTTTTTCAAACAAGACTGACTACACCAAACTAAACTAGGGGACTGTTTAACAACGAAACCTTTAAGCTGCTTATTTGTCAACGTTGTGAAATACGCTGATCGAGAAAGAGCAGACGATTCTACTCCTGCGTGGAAAACCGCGCAGAGTGATATAACTCCTCGAAAGAAGACAAAGAGGAGAGTGTTTTCAACTCCCATCACCAAAAATGTCATCACATAATGAGTGTTTACTGTCTTTCCCGATGTCCTTAGGGATGTACCCCACGAAATCCGAATTTTGATTGGCCAACTTCAGCGTAATTTAGGCAATAATACTCGGATGCCTAACAGAAAAGATTATACATGATAACCAGCTGAATGACAGTGTGGTTTGAAGTTTCAAATGCATTATGCACAGGTAATAACATGATTTCGAGCAAAATTTTGTGTTGATAAGCACGAGTAAATTTTCAAAGTCGACAAAATTGCATGAGCCCCTTGGTCGAGTGCGATGTGTAGTCTGGAAAATTTATAAGTGCTTATTTACACCAAATTGCACGAGAAATCATATTGTTGCTTGTTAATAATTTACATGAAAAACGCATCACAGAAAGTCAAAACGGACAAAACTTTGTAGCGCGTGCATGCTGTTTGTAATTTGCACTCGTCCTACAACTTTGCACTCGTGTTAGTATAGGTAATTACATGATTTCGAGTGCAATTTGGAATAAATAAACACGAATAAATTTTTTTAAAGACTAACAAAATTGTTAGTGCTTGTTTATTCCAAATTGCACGAGAAAAATCATGTGATTACGTGTTAATAATATACATGGAAAAATACGAGATGGCTTATCATAATTAAACGTAAGCAAAGCGCGCGCGTCAAGTGCAAAAATAATTTATTCAAACCTTGCGTTCGGTCAAAACAACCGCGTACGATCAAAACAATAATAAATTATGCAATGATATCTTCACATCTTTAAGGTGCAAAAAAGTTCAAAGTTGGGCTAAACAGTTCAAGGAATTGTTCATTCTGTGTCCGAATCACTTTCGATGAAATGGAATCGTCGTTTCCGAGGTTTAACCATGTTTGTTTTTAATTTCGGCGTGTGATCGCTCGAGCAAAGTGTTAAGCTGGGTCGGCTCGTAATTTCGATTTCCTGGGCAATTCCCTTCTCTAAACACCACTTTTTCCAAACCAAAAACCAAAAAGCGGTGCTTTTTAAAGCGTTTTCGTTGTTTAAGCTGTTTTTCAGCTGCGGTGGCGAAAGAAAACCTACTTAAAACGCCGACCATTGCTTCGCTCGCAAATTTTCAGCGTAGCCAAATGTTACGACATCTAAGGCTCACATTTGATTGGCTATCTGTGAGTTTCTTTGATTATTGACCATCAGAATGTCTGGTTTGTTACTTTCTTTGCACTGAATTAACCCTCTTCTATATTGAATTACCTGAAAACTGCATTTTTCTTAACCAATCAGAACTAAGTAATTTTTTCATGTATGTTAATACATGAAAAAATGCACTCGTTTTCGGCCAATCAGACGCGCGTGACTTTTTAATGTATATTTATACATATCAAATTCAAAATGAAATGATTCATTCACGTGAATCACTAGAATTGTAAAGTCAAGTGTGGAAGCCTAAACAACAATAAATCATTTAAAGCTATGACAAACTTTTGTTGGAACTATTTTCAAATTAATGACGGACACTATACAAATCGGCTTCATGAAAACCTCATCCACTTATCCAAATTATCTACTTAACGTCAAACGTTTATGAGATAACAAGCACGAAAATGCATGCTAAGATCAAAATTAGAGAAAGGACTTGCTTAAAGTGAGCTCGTATTCCATAGGCCACACCTCCCATGACAAATGTACCACTTTGATCGACACTGAAATTGGTCATTTTAAGGAATACGCCACACTTCGTAACAAGCAAACAAAAAGAAAACAGAATTTCTGACCATATGCCATCTTCTAGACGGAAACTAGACAGGTGAATTCATCATCATGCGGTAAAATAGCAAAGTATTGGATAATTGATCATGAATATTTCTCGTTGAATACAACGTAAGAGTGAACATCGATCACTTTGAAGGAAGAGACGAACACGAACAATTCTTTAACACTTTGTTTTCATTAAATAGTTCAGTCATATTACACAATATATATTCTACTTAATATTTACATATTTCGCTCAGGTCATTTACCCTCCACTTTTTCGTTTTTTCTGACAAAATTTAAGGCTGGTTTTTGAGCTTTTCTTTAAAGGTTAAGTTAAGGGAAAATACTCTGGCGCAATATAACTCTGGAGACATCAACTATCCAAGATTTCACTTAAGGCAGCAGTGTTTTTTATCCTCACTTTTTTCGCCGCCTTCGATAGAAATCAATAAGAAAGGGACACAACTTGTGCCATGTGGTTCAGAGATCTTGTTTTGGTGATTGAGATCATGACATTCGCGCACAATTATCTTAAACGTTTCGTGGCTAATAACTGAATGATGCTCGCTACTTCAGTCCTGAACTTTGGCGTTTCA